CCTGTGGGGAAAATCTCTAGTTCTGAACTGGTGCGCTTCTAGTACATTTAGACCAGAGCTGTGTAATGATTGAATCAATTGAGTGTGCATTCTCATTTTTTTCGTTTCAAAAATGTGATTGTTTGATTTAAAAAATTTAACAACCACTCTTGAGATTGGTTACAAATTGTAAACACAAAATATGTAGTGTGTTATGGAATGGTTGACACCCATTCACATAGAGAATGTGAATGCAAAAAAAAAACTCAATCATGTATGATTGGACGTTTATGGGAATGCAATCTGTCATTATCATTCAGTACTAATACTATTTGTTGTATCAGGGTTGAAATTTTTGTACTCAAAATGTGAAACCAGAAGATTGCCATCTCCCTTAAAATAAGTAAACAAATAAATATTTGGTGCTAAAATATTTTTCTAAGTGTTTGGCCGAATTTCTGCTCAAACTTGAGGCATGAGTTCTGATTTTCTAAGAAGAGTTTTCAAAGCAGAAATATACTCGAAGGTTTGCCATTGCGTGCCGAAGGACGACTGCTATTTTGGGCTATGATCTGACCAGGTATTTAACCATGGTCCTATGGAGTGGAAGTACGCACATGTAATCACTCTGCTACGGCGACCGCCGTAAGTACATGCTATACATATCGTGGTTTAAAGTACAAAACCGCGTATCAAGAAAATGCAAAACCGCGTAATTGCATAAATTATTTTCTATAGAGTAAAGTCACCCATATTTCAAAATGGTTATCTTCTTTATAAAGCAAACGTATTCTGGCTAGTATATTTCAGGACGAATGGATAAGAATTGAGCCAAGAGTTTTTGTGAGCAAATCCAATTTTTGGCAGCCAATGTCAGTCACACGGTTTTGCAGAATGACGATACGCGGTTTTGTACTTTAAACGACGATATATATGTACACATATTAGATTATTTATTCTCAAAATGCATGAAAACTATAGTATGCTTGCAAACAATTAATAACATTTTGTGATAAACAGTTTTACAAATGTATTTGCACTTCAAATTTGTATTTTAGTAAAGTATTAATTAAATAAATTATTATTGTAAATTATTATTTTAATAAATAGATATAAGGATATTTATACTTGGCAACTCTTGGACTTTTCTTCATTTGTAACAAATGACAGACGTAAACAAAATAAAAAAATAATTGTATTTTTACAAATTTAAAGCAAACGGGCGTTCTTTACAAAAAAATGTAGTTAGGGATCGAATTGCGCATATTTTTTTTACAATATCAAGTGCCCACAAGAAGTGTTAAACCACTAAATAGCTTAAAAAACGCTTTCAAAAATTCGAAACGAGAGTGAAGTGCAGTGTTCAATTGTGATCGAAATTGCAGGCAAAATTTGTGCGTGTGTAATTAATGTTTTACTTATTTGAAGAAATGTTGCCCGTCGTTATTAAAAATAAGGAAACCAAGACCCCGCTTTCCACTGGTGGTTACATAATACTTGAATAGCTCCTTAATTAACATGTGTGTGCCAGTTAAACAGGCATGTCTGAATCGATTTCCTTCATCATTCTTACCAATTTGATGTGCATTTTTATTGTTATGTGTTGCAAACAGACATTTTAGGAACTAAATAGGTTCTAAAATCTCTGTACACAAGCGCACTTATTTTTAACAGTTTCCAGTTTATGTAATATTAATCAAAACAGCTTTTATTTATTTTATCTATTATGTGATTTCTGGAAGCGTCGAATACAAAAAAGGGCTGTGACTGGGTTTATGTAATTTGAAATTGTATTGATGATTACTAATAATAATAGAAAGGCGCCTACATATCGACACAACTAAAAATTTCATATATTTCAGTAGAGCCAATTAAAGATTTTTTGTTTCGTAATTTAGCAATAATATGTCTTGGAACGTAATTATTCCGGATTATATGCAGTCATACTATAAGCTTTCAAATTATGTATTTTTCTAAACCTGAAATTTTGAATTGTGCCGTTATTGCAGAGGACCACCGGCATATGTTAGGGCTACTCCTCCGATTGTGGCATACGCCTTGGCGTTGTCGCACAAAGGGGAGGGACCTACAGTTTTACGCCGACTTCTGCCGGGGGCCGACTACTATTACAAAAAAACATTTTCTTTTTTTTGTTGGCCGGAACTGGGCTCGGACTCTCACCCTGCGGAATGGTAGTGCGCACTTCTAACCACTACACCACAGCGATCGCTTAATTAATTTTAATCATTAATCACGATTAACCATTTATTCGTTAATTTTTAGTCATTCATAGACTAACATTTTGTCGACAATACTCGCATAAGATAGTCCCAAATTTTCACAAAAGAGAAAAGTGATTTTCTTCAAAACTTTTGAATGACGTCTTGACTGAACTTACTAATTCGGAATTTCTACTATTACTTATAGAGTAGGCTATTCATAAAGTCTGGGTAATGAAATAAAAATTTTTCTATTATAAGTTCCATAAATATAAGGAGACTTTTATTGTTTAATTTATTTTTTTGCACATAAACTTGTATCTTGAACTTCTTTTTCCAAAAAGTGGGGATGTCACAATTTCAATAGATAATAATATAGATAAGTTCATGAAAATTATTCCAAACGAAAACTTAAAATTGATAAAAAAAATAATAACTAAATTTAATTAATTTATATTAGAGGTTTGAAGTTTATCCCACTGTAAGTATGAAATCTTCAGCTATGTGTTTCCATTGTCACTTTTTCGTAGCCATATCAACAGCCTGACAATTAAGAAGATTGTGACGTTTCATGCTACCATACGCAATATCTTAAATCCTTCAAATTTTATTATTAACCTTTTGTTTGTTAAAAACATTTTCTTCTTAGATTCGAAACTTGATCAAGCAAAATTGCCTTTGTGTTTGACTAAGAGATGCTCAATAAGCTCAGAATTGTAGTTCTCATTTACATACATAACAATAAATTATTAATTTTTGTTTCACACCAACTCCAATATTGAATAGTAAAATATATTTTAATCTTACCCAAATAAACAACGATTTAGTTCAATGGTCAATCACATATAGAGTATAGGGTGGTAATATGTTAAAGTTTCAAAGTTTTTAAACGTAAAATTACGGCTAATACCTTTTTAAGCGTTTTGTAATTTAACCAAAACTCATTAGCATCCACTCAAGCAAGGAATTATTTACTTTTCAACTTGCATTAGCAGAGTGCACTTCTCTTTTGTTTAGAATTTGGTTGTCAAACACACTACATCGGATCTTTTGACAGATTTACCAGAATTTTCCAGCAGGTAGCTTCTGACAAAGAGATGACCTTACGTACTATCTGGAAATTCTGGTAAAAAATGGTAATTTCGGACTCATGCGGGTTCACAACTAAATAATATTGGGAATACTTTTGAGGTGTTTGAAGAGGGTTGCGACCTGTTTGAAACTAAATTTATTTATAATAATCATATTTTGGCCTGCCACTTTTGCTAAGTTTTGGCCGAGCTTCTCCTCCGATTTGTAGCGTGCACCTTTGCTGTCACACAAATGGGAGGGACCTACAAACTTACGCCGACGCCGAACGGCGATACAATTTTTATGATGAGCTATTTTTTTATTAAAGACACTAAGATTTTTAAAATATTTTCAATAAAATTTTATCAACCTAAATGTAAAGCTTATGCGAAGTAGTTATCTAATTTAATGTAAATTTTAAACATTTTCAAGATAAAACATGAATTATATTTAAAACGTAAATGTTAATACAACTGTTTTATATATAATCCCAAACATATGATATAAAATCCCCTCTACCAAAAAACTTAAATTGGGTAACGCCGGTTTGAATTTTTACAATTGAGCAATTGTCAAAAATCTTCCTTTTTATCAAAAAGTTATTTACCAGGGTGTCTTTGAACTAATGATTGGTACTGAGTTAAAGAATGCACACACATAAAAGATTGCAGCCTTTTCAATACTCATTCAGTGTTAAACCTTTTTTTGATTGGGCATTGGTTTTTTCAATCTTGCTATGAATATGTTGATGTGTGAATTCATAACTGCTTTGAGAGAATGGAAAATTCAAAAATTTTAAACCTCAATCCTAAGCGAAGAATAAGTAATGAAAACTGGATAGAAAAAAATTGTTGATTTAAAATTGAAAATGATTTCACACTTACACAGCTCTGATTTAGACCCAGTACTTCGTCGCGATATATCTCTTTTGCATGCAAGCAACTGGCGAATTTAACATGGCGATGTCCTAGGAAGTGTCAATTGCCCCCCGCTGCATCCCTTTTTCGATAGTTCCGAACTAGACCTAAATTCTATAGTTCCGAACCAGTTCTAAAATCGACAGACGAAAGAAAAAAGTGTCACGATTTTTCAATCTTTTTGGTTCTTCCGTGTGTACGGTTTTAAGTTATTTTGGAAGAAAGGTATTTTCAATTTGAAATTAAATTTGTTTGAATGATTGTAAGAAATGTACGTTTACATACCTTTAGCTGTAGCTGAGTTTGCAGAGGTGCTCGCTGTTATTTCTTAGATTCCAGACTGTCCCAAGATGTTGAAATGGTAACACAAATTTTAGTTTTTAGGCTACGAAAAAGCATCTGCGAAGCGCAGAATAGAAGCGTATTTGAACGAAAAAGCCGCTGAACACATATCTATGTAAAGTAATCAAGCCCCCCGCTGCATCCATTTTCGATAGTTCCGAACTGGTTCTAAATTCGACAAATAAGATCTAGTTTGTTCTGCATCCCTTTTTCTATAGTTCCGAACCATTTCTAAATTCGTCACTTTAGATATCGCTTTCTAGTAAAAAAAACTGAAAAAATTAGTCTTTTAAAAGTACCACTTTTCGCCGATTTTGGACTGGTGGGGACCTAGACATATCGGACTAGTTCCTTTTTGGCGATAAAGACCTAGTACGGAACTAGAAATTTGATTCACTAGTCCGCGGTTTCCCTGCAGGGTACATACAGCTACACACAGTCACACACCCTTGGTCACTTGGCGCCCATGTGTGAATGGAAAACTGGTTTCCGCCTTTGTGCGGCTAGCTGCGCCGGCGAGGTGTCATTTTTAGTCTACAATAAACGACGAGACGCGTTGGATGTGTTGCTGGCGCGGTTTCGAAGAAAACGAGTGAATGAATTGTGTATGAAGCGCGCAACGAACATAAAACAAAGAAAAAATTATTTACGCAATTTAATGAAATTAAAACACAAGAATTTTTGCTAATTGGAAATTTTTAAGAAATTGTGAATTTATAAAAACAAATTGAAAAAAGTAGCTTTCTGACTTTTAGTTGCTATCTGAAAGAGCGCACACGCATAAATATCAAAAACAAAATAAAAAAACGCCAGCAAATGTGAGCGCGCGCGTCTCAACGCTTAGTAAACAAAAGCGAGCGTCTGTAAAGTGCTTTCTACTCAAAAAAAAAATAATAATAATAATAAATTAACAAAATTTCATTAAAAAATTTGGTGCCAAAACGCCATAAAAGTATTTCAATGAAAATGGTAAAAATTGCCAGTATACCGCCGTCAAACGCGCTCAGTGATCATCAAGCGTTAGCGCTCAGCTACAACCAACATATACACAGCCAGCAGCAGAATCATAACCAAAATCCCAATGCGCAGCAAGAAAGCGCTAACCACCACCAGCCACACCAACTGCAGCATCAACAACACCAGCAGCAGCAGGTGGCGCCTACAACCATTGCCTCACACACCGCCGCCTACACGCTCGCCGAGTCCGCGCTGCTCTATAAAATGGCGCGCACGCCCCACCTCAAGTCCAGTTTCTCCATCAATGCAATTCTGCCTGAAACGCTAGAGGATCACCATCAACAGCCGCCATCGCCACAGCGTTCACCGCAACACCAGCCGCATCATCATCATCACCACCACCACAACAACAACAACAACCATCATCCTCTCCACGCCACCAGTCACCCGCTGCACCAGCACCCAGCGCTGCAACATCAATATGCCATACACGTGCAACAACAACAAAACTATCCATCACCGCATGATATCGATAAGTACCGACGCATGCCGCCCGTCGACTTTCATGCCTGTCACTCACCGCTCGGCTCGGAGGAGCATGACGCCTCCGAGGTGGAGTCTGATCTCGATGTGACCAGCATGTCACCTCCGCCGCTGACGGAGGGTAGTGAGGTGAGCGCGCATAGTTTGGAAAATGGTCAGCGGAAATATGCGCGGCGCAATGGACGTGGCGCGCGGGAGGGCGCGTCGATAGGCGGTCGTGTCCAGGCAGAGGAGAGCGCCGATAGCGATTTAGAGGGCGCGGATGAGGATGTAGAGGGTGAGCTGGATGGCGTCGTCGATGAGGAGTGCGAAGAGGAGGATGTGGACTGTGATGCGGAGGGTGAGGCGGGCGAAGGAAATGCGGAGGGCGACGCCGCCGATGCCGAGAAAACAGCGGATGGCAAGCCGGCGAGCGACAAGAAGGGCAACGAGAAGCCGCCCTATTCCTACAATGCGCTCATCATGATGGCCATACGGCAAAGTTCGGAGAAGCGGTTGACGCTGAACGGCATATACGAGTACATAATGACCAATTTCCCCTACTATCGCGACAATAAGCAGGGCTGGCAGAATTCGATACGCCACAATCTCAGCTTGAATAAGTGTTTCGTGAAGGTGCCGCGCCACTACGACGATCCGGGCAAGGGCAATTACTGGATGCTCGATCCTTCGGCGGAAGACGTGTTCATTGGCGGCTCCACGGGCAAGCTGCGGCGACGCACCACCGCGGCTTCACGTTCACGCCTAGCCGCCTTCAAACGATCTCTCATCGGTCCCATGTTCCCCGGTCTGGGCTATGCGCAATTTGGCCAATTTTTATATCCACAACAAGCCGCCGCCGCTGCCGCTGCGTCCGCTGCTACGGCGCCCAGCCTGCTGGCCAGCATGTACAACCGCTACAGTCCGTTTATGCCAAAGAGTCCGGCGGTGGCAGCGGCAGCTTCTGCTGCGGCCAGCCTGCCTATGTCTATGCAATTGGGCGGCGCTCCTAACTCACCCGCCTCCGTTATGGCCAACTACAGCAGCGGCATGGAGCGGCTGTTGGGCGCCTGTGGGCCTCATCAAACACATCCTGCCGCCGCTGCAGCGGCGACCAGTGAACTTTATCAACGTTTGCAATATCAGCAATTGTTGCAACAACATGCGGCCGCGGCGGCCATAGCTGCACATCAGCGGCATCAACAACATTTGGCTGGTGCTGGTGCGCCAGCGCCTACGCCGCAATCTGTCGTCGTTCAGCATCCGCAGCACGGCTCACCACATTTGCAACACTTGTCGGCGGTGACGCGACATCAACAGCAGCTGCAAATAGGCGCCACGCATGCACATCTGGGCGCGCAACAGGCCTCACCCGGCCAGCCCATTTCGCCAGTGACGGTGGTGGCGCGCAACGATAGCTGAGTGGGCGCCTGGTTTTGCGGCGCGGCAGCAGAGGAGGCTGTATGTATATAGTATATTTAAGTATGTATAGTTCATAAAAGCTGTTAGTTAATAACTAAACAACAACAAAAAAAAACGTAAGAAAATTTGTAAACTACGCTTATGACGTTAAGCAGGCAACGCGTGTGACGCTCAGTGATCTTGAGTTAGGCCGAAAGTCTCATAGGGGAGCTTTTGATTGTATGAAATTAGCAAAATAAAAATAATAGTATTAAATTGATAGAAATTTAGTAATTGAAAACGAAAAATATTATAAAAATAAAATACTTAACAACAAAAAATGCATTTGAAAGGAATGTTCGTTAAATTGCTTAAAGCGATGCGCTGGGCATTGATTACGAATATTGACGCGGTTTATGTTTGATGAGCATGCATGTATTTGTATTTATATTACAGTTAGCTAGTATCGAATATGAAATCTTTCGAAAAAATCAAAAATACGTAAAATAAAAAAATATTTATTTATTAAAATTTGAAATCAAAGTCTGTTTTATTTTCACATTGGAAAAACATTAACGGAAAAAGTGAACTATATTTTACATAAATATAAAGCTGGTTTTAATGACTAAAATAACATTGAAAAATAACAAAACACTGCTCTTACTATCTTACAGTTAACTTAGGGTTAAAGCCCAGTGAACACTTTTTAATGAGCTTCTTCGAAAAAGGGTCTGAAACAACCGTAAGGGTGAAGTTAAAAGGTTAAAATTATGCTCGCCGAATTTTACTTCCGTCTCTAGATAGAAGATTACTGTTTGAATCTTATTTATACATTATTTTTTGACTCACGCACTCTTGTAACCATAATACAGCGCACGCCAAATTTATTCATATGATACTTTTAGTAAAATCCGGCTTAACATTTTTGTAGTTTATTTTAAGCTAACTGCCATTTTTAATGAACTCTCAATGAACTTATCAAAATATTCCGGCAGGAAAAAAATCTACGCACATTCTAAGTTGCTAGACCGACCCATTTCGATTCTCTAATGAATCTACCGATTTCGCTTATGGGTAGCTAGTGCTACCAGATGTTTTCCTAATGTTTTGTCTCTAAAATGCGAAAGGCCTGGTCACTCACAAAGGAAATGCTTGACACTTTCTTTGCAATCTTCTAGTTGAGAGCTGCGGCAAATCATATTATGGGGTAGACCTATTTTGGCCGCATGTTTGCCTATGGGAAGTGCCCCGTGATGTTTGCTACAATTCTAAATACCTCTGGCCTTGACCTGCTAAGCAGGTTAACGGGTTTCGCCCTTTTGTAGTAAGGCCATAGTTTTCTCGATATTTTACAAAACTGTGTATCGGACCACTTGCGTCTAGCCAGTTTAAAGTAAAGCGTGACAATCCCTCTTTGCACTATACCAAAGGGCAACACAGTGCCACCACCTGAGATTCATCCAAACCGGTTCCTGCCTTTGCCAGCTCATCCTTTGTCGAGAAATCCAGACATGAGAGACGGTGGTGGACTGAGACACTGAGCTCAATATTACTTTGCATTCCCTAACTAGCTTTGATTTGGTAACCGGTGACCGCCTGGCTGTCAGAATATATTTGTTGTTTTACTCTTGTGCCTAACTCTATTGCCTAGAAATCCCTGCTTGCATCATTTCCCAACCGTAGAGACAGAGCCACACCGAGTTACTCCCAGTAGACTCCCGCTCCTACATAGCAATCCATTTTGGATCCGTCGGTATATAGAGAGATCGCCTTTCGGTTGGCCACTCGGTCTGTTCTCCAGTCCCTTCTGGGTAGGAATAACACTTGGACGTTACAGCTGAAGTCCAAATTGCCTACCATATGGTCTTTCATCCTACTTAAGTAATTGCGTTTGATTTATGATCAATCCATGTCCGAAGTGTCTAGTTCTCCAATGGCCTGACTCACGGAGTCTTAGCGCCAATTTCAAAGCCACTTCTTTTAGCTGGAGATCAATAGGGATTAAAGTCAGGATAGTATTTAGAGTTTCTGCCGGGCAAGGTCTTAGTGCACCTGTTACTCTTGCGCTTGCTGCCCTTTGTTTGCTTCTTAGTTTACTGATGTTAATTTGTTTGCTTATGCCCGCCCACCCAACCAAGGCGCCGTATGTTAGAATTGGTCTTATGCACGCGGTATACATCCATATCACAAGTTTAGGTTTTAGTTCCCACTTTCTACTGAAGATTATCTTGAAAGTATAGTATGCTAAGTAGGCACGACTCCACGATACTTTGCAGTGGGGGATAATGAGAGTACCTTGCCGCCGTCTAGCGACGGTAGTTTGAATTGTGGAATTTTGTGTCTATTTGTAAATAAGATAAGTTCTGTCTTGGCTAGATTCACATTTAGGCCGCTTCTCGCAGCACAGGCGTGTAGCCTTCCCAGGGTTCTTTCAAGAATTTCGCTAATGGTAGAGAGGAATGGGCCCGTAGCTGCTTTTACAATATCATCCGCATACGCCACATATACATATATTTAGTCATGTGACGAAATGGGAACCGGACATTTTGACCAGTTTTCTTTCGTTCATTTAATGTTTATTAATGTTTTATTAAATTCTAGCTAGTTATATAATACTTTTCAAACTTTGTAGAGAAATTTAAAAAAATTTCACAATAAACTTTTTATTTATTTTTGTTATTTATGGCCTTATAACAATTATATTCAAGCTCAGTAAAATTGTTAAACAAACTTTTTATTCACTATTAGAAAAATTCTAGGTATGCAGTTTTGTAGCCCATTAAATTTCGGTAATAAAGTGCATGTTTCAAGAGGCTAAGAATTCGCGTTCATTTTTATATATGTTTTTGCCGGCAGTGTTATTATTTGCTTCCATAAAAAAAATGTCGAACATAGATATATTGTATAGAAGGAAATGCGTGACGCCGTCAGGAAAAAAAATCAAAAGTCAACGGTATTTGTTGAATTTTGCTAATTTTTGTACAAAGGTAGAAATTTGGCTTTATACGGCTTTTGTTAGATCATAGCATTTTGTCGTGGGGTGTGCTACAGATACATATAGTACCAGGAATTCCTGTTTTTATTGAAAAAAAAAAGTATCAAAAAATATTGTACTCTAAAAAACGTATTTTTTTTGTAATTGAAGATACTGCGAAATGGAATTTTTTTGCAGCAATATACAGTTTTTTGTGAGAAAAAATATACGAGCATTAAGTATGCACTATAATGAATGTATGCTACTTTTAAGATTCACCTTAAAGTTTCGCCCTTAACGTCCTGCTGGAACTGAGAAGTTTTTTGTTTCTGATTGGTCGTTTTTCCATGCTGCTCTCCCTTCAGGAGCTTCGAAGATATCTGGATATAGTTCAATTTACGTGGATACCGCTTCGTGACATTGCGCTCAGCTTGTTTGGTTCTTTCTTCGATATTCTTAAATAAAAATAATATGTAAAGCCTCAACTGTCCCCTATGAATTATTGATGCCAGCTACAAATCCAATTGTATGTACGTTAGGCTTCGTGGAATTCAGCACTAATCGCTGCAGCTCCATCATATCCTTAGCCATAAAGGTTCGTGAAATCTATACCTACTTCCGAAAGATAGTTCTTGATAACCATCTTAAAATGCAATAGTGATAAAATTAAAAATCCAAAACCCACCGTAGTAAAATCCAAGATTCGCCGCTGAGTGTAAGTAATGAATATTTCAACATTTCGGATAAGGTTTAGGCTTATATGTATATATTTAGAAGCTCAGACGCCTACTGCGGAACGAGTGTTGAAAAAAATCAAAGCCGTTTTTTCAGACAACGAAGGTTTGGAGACACTAAACGCCGTTGATAAAATAGTGAAGGGCGATGAAAAAAAAATATATGTATGTATGTCTGTACATACACATGTATCTATATAGGAATCGATAGAAGTCATTGGGCTGAAGATAACGGTATACTTCATGGAGGAACCGAAAGGCAAAAGGATTGTATGAGAGTTGCTGGGGCCAGGGATCGAATGCAGGCCCAACGGAGTGGCAGATTAGAAGTAGGAATAATTCATATTCACAGTTTCAGAAGACATATGGAAAAAAAATCGAGTAAATGTATCATATTTTTCTTTGGTTTTCCGATTAAATCCGTTTAAATTTTCGCGCTACTTTGCATGCATAAGTCGTACATTAACTACTAAAATTTTTATTGCAATTACATAGCCTCACTTCCACAATTTCTCGCAACATTTCGCGCCTCGTTATTGAACTGCTGCTAGTTTGGATTAATCTGTTGATGTGACAAATAACAATGTATGTACATATGTATGTAAGAAATTCCAACGAATACCATAGAAACAGCAATGCGTAATGCCATCGTAACAGGAAGTCTCTAATAAACGCACAACAATGACTTCGCTTACAATTAGTAAGAATCTGATCTGGAGTCTGGACAAGCGAAGCTGCAGAGTGTTAAATCAAATTCAAATAAGAACTTAGTTAACAGAGGCGTCAACTTAATGATACACAATCATATTAATGCACAGAAAGAACATTTATAAGTAAGAAAAAGTGATATTTGGGGGTCAGTATTAACTCTGTTAATTTCTGGATCTTGTACTGTTGATTCCTTTTTTTTTAAATGTCACTCAGTTTGAAAGGTGGATTGTCTCTTTAAGAGGCCAAATTCCGACTTTAAGGCTGAATTAGTGGCGCCATACCATAGCCATACCATAGCCATAGCAAATAAATGTTCCGATAAAACGTACGCGCAGCTCTGTAAACGATTATTGATGCCTTACTATAACACCAGAGCCATAACCATAACCGTAGGTATCTATTTAATTCTGGTTTTTCACGGTAACCACACCTTACGTGTTACGTTATGGCTAAGGCGTTATGGTTATGGTACCTCTAATTTGGCCTTTAGTCGCACAACGGTAATACTGGCGAATATTTTTCTTCAAACGTTTCGTTGTAAAACCTAACATTTTGACCGTAGTTTGGAAAACGAAACGGGAACAAATTTTTGAAATGAAACTTCTTTGCTTTCGGTTGGGAGTAAATGCAGACATCGATGTAACGAAAAAGCTGCACTCTCGTCGGGCTCTAATCCCTAGCGAAAAAGGAACACGATTACCATTAAGATTAGGATTATGATCAAGAGCTGGATTGAGCTTAAGATTAAAATGACTCATTATTATGCAGAAAAATACCCACAAAATCAATTACGGCACTTTTGTGAAGGTCATCAGATCTGCAGCCTTCGCAAAAAACTAAACTAAATTAAAGAGTTGCCACCTATTAAAAAATTAACTTGAAATTATTTAATAATTTAAATGAATTATTACAATATGGGCAGTGTTGCCAGAACTATTTGGGCCAACCGGCTATATTGGCAAAAAAAAGCGGCTAAAAACGGCTAAAATGTTTCAACTACAATTCACATATTTTATTTAAAGAAATCGCAAGTAGAAATCATTAATTTTTTTCTAGTTAATAAAGGTTATACGT